AATTGGTAGAATTCTCACTCATGTTCATTTTTATCTCCACCCCTTTTGCAGATGCAGACAAAGGTAGTATGTAATGCCAGTCCAGGCTCATAATTTACTTTTAGACAGTAGCAAATAATGTTTGTTTGTTTTTTCCTGTGGGACATCCATTTATCTGTAGGGTTCCGTTGGTTTCTCAGTGTGATGTATTGCACCCTGGGGAGAAATGGGGACAGGAATGAAGAAAAGATAGACAAGAAGACAAGAGCTAGGTCAGATGGTAGCTCACCTGCCTGGGTGGCGAGATGATCCCCAACACCACAGTAGGGCATTTCTGTATGTCTTTGTAAGGTTAGTTTCACATGACACAAGGTTGCCAGGTGACTAATAGCTGACATTAGCCAGTCAGGATGCTGCTTTTAGGACTGAGGTAGCTTGACTGCTTCAGGCCCTGCGGTCTGGTCCCACTTTCATACATTTGACCAATTTCCCGCTTCTGGGACTCCCAACAGTTATCATTATTCATTCCTGGGTCAGTTTATTGTTCAGAAGCCTGAAGATATTGAACAATTGGGGTGCTTGAGACCAAGTGAAGAAAATGTCACTGAATGCTACTGATACTTAGATGTTACCTCGGAACCTCTAAGATGAACATACATTTTGAAGTTTTCTTTGTTTTTGTCCCACTCTGACTTCGATATAACTTGCACAGTGTAAATCAGTTCCATTGAAATTACCTGGTGTTATTTACCCAATTCAATACGGTGGCCCAAATTTCATGGATACTTCTGGCTTCTGCTAGATCTATTATTTGTAAATTATTATTGATTACATTTACTTTTATCTTATATACAAAAATAAAATTGCCCATTGAAATGGACTACCATGGTGTTTTGGTCATGTAATCTCTAAATTAAGTAAAATATATCTATCTCTTCAAATTTTTATATTTTACTTGGTTCAGCACTCCAAATCACTTCATCTAACTTACTGAGAGACACAGAGTTCATGTCTATGTCCAAATAATTGGGTCACAAGTTCTCTCATGGTGCTATGAAGCTGGTTTTTGGTGTTCTGTCTTGACTACTGTGGCGCATCTCATTAGAGCTTTTCAGTCTGATGATCTAATTCTCTAATTGCAGAGGGAAGGATTGAGAAGTCTCAGGATGTAGTTGGTTCTTTCCTTGTAAATGTAAGTTCTTGGAAGATGACGATTACTTAAACCATGTTGGCTGTATCGAATTATCCACTATTGCTCTCCTGGACAATAAAATTTTAAAGTGCCCTCTTGTTTGTGATGCAACTGTTTGACTTGGGTGGCAACACTGATTGACTTTTCTCACTTTTTTTTTGCGGAACCCGGGATTAAACTTAGGTCCTTGCACTTGCCAGGGAAGTGCTTATTCCACTGAGCCATCTCCCCAGCCAACTTTTCTCACTTTCAATAATTCCCATTAGTACCAAGAAAAAAGACTTTATTCTCTGCATTCTCTCTTTTGTCTCCAAAAGTTGTGAATACAGATGGTATCAATTTATTTTCTGCACGTAATAATAGTAGTTATCACTTAACAATGTGTCATCACTATTAAATAGTTGATATCATAAAGACTGCAGTTAAAGAACATGAAGTAACTCATTTTCTTGGTTGTTATTTAGTATAAAGCATACTGTGTATTCAGACATAAGCCTTTTGAGTGCACATCAATCTAACATACTTATACACTCAACAATTTTTGTATGTTTGCTATGATTCATAGGTTTTCAGTAAATTTATACTTCTATCAGTTATTCATATGTTGTCATGCTGTGTTTGATCTTTTTTCTTATTGCAGCTGAAATGCTCAAACACATGAATGAGGCCCGAGGTAGAAACCAGTCGGAAGTGACAGAATTCATCCTCTTAGGACTCTCTGACAACCCGGACCTTCAAGGCATCCTCTTTGCACTGTTTCTGTTGATCTACGTGGTGACCATGGCTGGGAACCTGGGGATGATGGTCCTGATCAAGCTGGACCCCTGTCTCCACACACCCATGTACTACTTTCTCAGCAGCCTCTCCTTCATTGACGCCTCTTATTCCTCTTCCGTCACTCCAAAGATGCTGGCGAACCTCGTGGCTGAGAGCAAGACCATTTCTCGGAGTGGATGTGCTGCCCAGTTCTACTTCTTTGGCTCCTTCCTGGGCACTGAATGCTTCCTGCTGGCCATGATGGCCTATGACCGCTATGCCGCCATTTGGAACCCTCTGCGGTATCCCATTCTCGTGTCTGGGCGAATTTGTGTCATGTTAGTAGCTACTTCCTTCCTCGCGGGGTTTGGAAATGCAGCTGTGCACACAGGGATGACTTTCAGACTGTCCTTCTGTAGCTCTAACAGGATCAACCACTTCTACTGTGACACACCACCCCTGCTCAAACTCTCTTGCTCGGACACCCACATCAATGGCATAGTGATCATGGCTTTCTCCAGTTTTAATGTCATCAGCTGTGTTATGATCGTCCTCATTTCCTATCTGTGTATTCTCATTGCAATACTGAAAATGCCTTCAGCAGAGGGGCGGCACAAAGCCTTTTCCACCTGTGCCTCTCACCTCATGGCTGTCACCATTTTCTTTGGGACGATTCTTTTCATGTACTTGCGACCTACAACTAGCTACTCAATGGAGCAGGACAAGGTCGTGTCTGTGTTTTACACAGTAGTGATCCCCATGCTAAATCCTCTCATCTACAGTTTGAAAAATAGGGATGTGAAAGAGGCCTTCAAGAAGATCTTAAAGAAACATTTATTCTAAAGTCGAGTTACCCAGCTTCTTCTTATTTTTTTTTAACAGATGAGTCTTTTAATAGAAAAATCAAGTGCAACAAATAGTAGCAACACACATCTCTGAGAATGTACACAGCATTGGGCTTCAGTTCTTCACCTTGGGAGGTGGCCTGTACACCCCCACAACCACGGTGTGGTCTCTTTCGTAGGGCTCTAGGGTCAGCTGCTCCTGGGGCTTCATGTTCTCCAGCTTCTTATTATGTAGAAGAGATAGCTTCCATTTATTTTTGAGTGCTATAATGCTTTCTATATTTTATGTCATTAAAATTTTTTTGTTTGTTTTTTTCCATAATTTTTATTGAGAAACAAATAGCAATGAGACAGTTTCAAACCAAATTGGTAGGACAGTTTCAATAATTAACACATTGCATACATTCTTCCTAGTGGTTAATTGCTGTACAAGATGTGGACTTGATATCCTATTTCTTCTTGATTTTCTGACATCCTACATGGACCTGCATGAATCTTTCTCATGAGTAAACAGTGGATGATCTAGGTGTGTAGTAAAAGTATGCACATCTTTGGACTTCATTGGCTTGGGTTCCAATTTCAAATTTAGTATGCAACTTATTGCAATGTGTTTTATAACGTACTTAGTGGTATCTCTTGGTAGATTCAGAATAATGAGGCTCTGAAGCAGAGTTTTCATGCAGTGAGATTACTGGAGAGTGTTCTCATGAGCCACCCCTGGCTTTTAGTGATGCCCAGTCTAGTGAATTAGGTTGTGTGTGAGCAATTGTGGAACAGCACTGACTCAGTCCCAGTGGTAGCTCTGGAGCTGAGACGGCCACTCACAGTTGCTTCACACTGTGGCTCCACAGTGGCAGGGTGAAGTGTGGCTTTCGTAATGCGAGGGCACCTTGTGAAAGACAAGGCTTTCAGTGGGGCAGTTACACAGGTGGAATCAGCGGTGAGTTTTCAGCTACCAAAACTTTTGGAAGCAGGGAATAATAATTCTGCCATGGAAAGCACATCTAGGAGGTGGGTCACAGAACGCAGTACAAAATACTAACATCTCCACTCATACAGCTCTGAATAATACCAGCTAACACAGCCGTACCTGGAAAACACACTCATGAGTCCCTTTGTGTGTCACTTGGAGTAAATTGAAAGTCATCATAAATGTGCTTTGTGTTTTGTCTCCTGCTCTCCAAGTTTCATGTAGGTTTTAATAAGCATTTGTCAAATAAATTACTACCGATTTTAGTGGAGTGGATGTGTATCACTGCTGAAGTGCTGGATAGCAGCCCTCTTTGATGTGACTGTTAAAGAAGCCTCAGCAACGATTTGGAATTAGCTCAGTGTCTGCTCCCACTTCTTTCCATTCCACTATCCACTGTTTATGAGGGACAAAGTTTGCATTATGCATGATATAAATGAAACGACTTTATCACTTAAAGAGAGACAACAAGGAAGGAGTTGGTGCATCCTGACCACCATGGATTGTTCTCATCTATCAATAACTTAAACTTTTCAAGGTTAACCAGGGCAGCTGGTGTTGTTGCATCCAATGTTCTTTGAAACGGGGGACACCCTGGAAAATCCATCAAATATTTTTGTCAGAATACAAATCTAGATTTTTTTTTTTAAAAAAAGGAATTACAAGATGTAAGCTTCTTATTTTCCTCATGTTTTCATATTTACCTATGCTCATGTATAGCTTGTGTCGGTTCATGTGCAAATTGTTACAGTCAGTGATGAGCTGCCACTGAGGTAGAGACATCATAGTGGACCAGCAGAAAGGAGGAGAGTGTGATATTTTGTCATAGCCAGAAGGCTGAGATAGTCAGCAACAGCCAGAGAGGAAAGGGCTCCGGACCACATCTGCTCCACAAGCTCACCCCTGTTCCCCCCACCTACCCAGATGCACCAGAAATACACCTTGATGATCTCCCAGGTGTCTCTTCAGATATTCATGTTGATGACTGGCCCCATGGCCTGGGGGTCTATGGAGAAGGAGAAGGTAATGGTGGGAGTTGGTCATGGATTATGACTGCTTGTACTATGAGCCTGAAAATCAAGAGGAAGACAAAGAGACCTTATTCTGCGATCTCCTTCAAGGGCACCCCCTGCTGTCCTTCTATCAGGCCCCAGACTCTAAAGGTTCTACCACCAGTTGGTAGTGCTAACCTGGCTACCAAGTGTTTGACTCATGACCTTGTAGTGACATTGGAAACGTGAGCTGCAGATGGGGAGGGAGCATGACTTTGTCAGGGAAAGTGTCACAGGTGAGCTCAGAGTGATCATGGCCCATCAGGGCCAATAGGAAGCCCCAGATACCAGCAAGGGATTAAAACAGAAAAGAAAGCAAAAACAAGACAAATGAATTGAGGGTTATGTTCATAAATAAATTGCTCAATCAGAAATTCAGCAGCAAATTAGGGGAAATGATAAAAATAACAGCAGATATAAACAAGGTACAATGTTAGTGAGAAACAAGGAAATTGATTTTACCTGATTAAATTTGATTGGTAGATCATGCTAGGATTTGTGACCAGAGTGATCAGAAGGATCACAGAAAAAGAGACCAGAGCTCTACATGATCTCTGAATTCCTGGAGAACAGATTTAATCTCCTTTACAGCTGCTTAAACAAAATAACCTATGGTGGGAACTACACAAAACATGGAAGGAAAATCAAATAGTTTCTTCTTTGCTGTAAGAGTGTTTCTATGTTATACTGAGAACACGTGTATTACAGCTCTTTATTTCTTACTGAGGTGAAGAAGGAAATACGTTCTTAGTAAATTGTGTAACCTGTTCTGTTTTACAGAGATCCCTAGGCATGGGGATTTGTGAGACACAGAAAGATAAACTTGTGCCTTCCAAGTCTTCCTTTACTTCCTGATATTTCTTTCTTTCTCCTTTGATCACACTGCTTTCACACCTGTTGAAAATTTTCAAATTAAAATATAAATACTTCTCGTGTGAGGAATCACTAGACATAATTCACAAGGCAATCAGCTGTAGGGCAGGCATCCTCTTTTACTTAATATGTATTTCAAGTCTTCTGCTTAAATTGAAAGAAGATCCTTTCCTAAAAAATTCACGTTGAGAAAAAAACTAGAAAATAAGCTTAAGTTACTTTTCTTAATGTTCATAAACTATTCATAAAATTGATTGCCTTCACATAATGCTATTCAGCAGCATAAACTATTAGCAACTTCCTGGAGAAACTACTATTCATAGAAAATTTTTGCAATGGCATTAAAAAATATTTAAAATCTTTAACTCCGTAATTCTACTCCAAGGAATGTATCCTAAATCAAAAGCCAGAGCAACACATATAGAATACATGAGTCAATCATAAAAATATTAAGATAGATTGGATGATGGGGTAACATTTTCTACGATAATCAAAGTGATATAAAATTCACCATAATTTTGATGGCAGCTGGGGAGATAGCACAGTAGAATAAGCACCTGCCTGGCAAGTGCAAGGTCCAGAGTCCAATCCCTGGCACCGCCAAAAAAATTAATAAATAAAAAAAATTAAAAATTTTGTGGCAGATGACCAGAGGGAAGGTTACATTTTTTCCTTTTATTTCTGCTGTAGAAAAAAAAATGTTTTGCAGTCATTGTGTATTACGTTTGTAATTAAAATCAATAACTAACTATAAATCTACATTAAATGTCCTTCACTAGAATAGTTAATTTTTGTGTAAAAACATATTGCACATTCATGTAAAAGTCAGTGCTGAATTCATATAGATTAGAATGTCACACAGATTTGGTTTGTGAAGTATAACACCACATGCACACAGAAAATTTCTGTAAGAAATGTAAAATACAAAACTCACAGTAATCATTGTTCTATGGTATATAGCAGATTAATTTTATTTCACCATGCATAATGTTTTTAATTTCTAATAATGACCCTGATACATTTGCAGTTTGAAGCATATATTAATAAAACATAGACCAAATTTCTTTGCTATATATCAAGATCTCTTGCTTTCATGTGAAATAATGCAAAACTTCTGTTCCTAATGCACATAGATTATCATACTACCCTGAGATGTCAGAGGAAATAGACTTCAGCTATTGCTAGGATACAGGTCAGAACCATCCGGGTCACTGTAACGTCCTCCATAGTTGTCACCTCCTTGGTTTCTCATACCTAAGGTTCCACCTCACTTCGGTGGCCAATTCAGGTGCTTATAATGAACTGCAGTGTGATTTGGAAAGACATAGATTGAAAAGGAAGGGCTTTGCCTTTGTTCTTCTTCTTGCCCTAGTGACTCTAGCAGGTCATTTAATCTTTCCACCTGAGACTCCACAGGTATGAACGATGCTATTACACTCCTTGTTGCACCTGTAAACTTTAAATTACGCAGAGATGTAAACATGAGCACTATTAATGAATGCCTCCCTTACTTGTAATGATTTGTTCTTTGTGAAGTGACTTTCACTCAGAAATACTACATGATGGGAAATAAATTGTGAATAAAAGTAAGAAATAGAATGTAAGTAAAGAAAGATGAAATTTATAAGCTCAGTGGACTTTATGAAAAATAATTTGAACCTTTTACAGCAAAGCAAGCACATGAATGTGTGTGAGCATTTACTATAGAAATGATACTTAAATGAATTTTCTTCTTAATGTTATGTATTTGGCACAGGGTCTCACTACGCAGCTCTGAAGCATAGTGATCCTTCTGTCTCAGCCTCCCCAGCACTGGGATTACAGGCATGTGCCACCATGCCCGGCTTCTGTGGCTGGCATGCATGCCCCTGATGGGGCCAGCATGGCATGTGGTACCAGGTATCACACCCGGGTCCTTGTGCTTGCCTAGGCAGGCACTTAGAACACTGACCTATCTCCACAGCCCATTGAATGCTCTGGTTTTGGTCTTTTCTGAGATAGTGTTTTGCTATACTGTTCAGCCGATCCTTGAGCTCATTTTGTAGCCCAGGCAGGTCTTGAACTAACAATGATCCTCCTGCCTTAGCTTTCCAAGAGCTGGGACTACAGAAGTGCGCCACCACACATGATCTAGTTAAATGCTTTAAATCATAGCAAATGTTTGTATGAATTCAACTATAACATTAATAAACTGGAGAAATGTTGGAGTGATTGAAAATGTTCAAAAAATTCTGTGAGGGCCAGCCAAATAGTTCAGTGGATTAAAGCTCCTGCAAGCAGGCACAGGGGCTGGGGGTTCTATTCCCAGGCCTTCTGTCCTGGCCCTGCCTCCAGGGCATACTGAGACAGCAATTGAGACTTGGTAGGGTGGCGTGTATCAGTAATCCCAGCTCTTGGGAGGTTGTAAACAGGTGGATCACTACAAGTCTGATCTAGCAGTGAGACCCTGAACACCCTGTAGACCCTTCCCTAAACTATAAAAAATAAATACTGTGAATATGCTGAAATAAAACTCAGTCTGTACAAAAATAAAAAGCTCAGCAGTCTAAGTACCTGCCTGACAAGCGCTAGGACCCAGGTTTGATCCCTTTACCACATGCCATGCCAGCCCCTAATGAGACATGGTGGCCCACATTTGTAAACCCAGAGTTGGGGAGGCTGAGACAAGACGATCACTACTAGTCCGAGCTATAGTGAGACCCTGTTTCAAATAAATAAATAAGTACATTTTAAAAAGTAAATAAAAATAAAAAGCAACAGAAAAGTAAAGTGTAAAATATCAAACATCTAAGCAAATTCAATAAAACATCAAACATTTCAGTGAAATTAATAGTGATAGCTTTTACTCATTTATAAAATTCTACATAGAAAGACTATGTATGATTTAATATATGAGTTAAAGTGACTAACACATAGATCTCCTTATGAAGCCCGCCTTGTCGTCTAGTAGGAAAACAGCCTGCACACCCTGATGCCCAGACAGCCTCGGGAACAGAAGCAGGCATGGAGAGACATCCTGCACAATGGCATGGAGAGGCGCGCTCCCTCGCACCACTGAGCAGTGTCCTGGTGGACAGAAGTCAAGGGGCAGGCCGCAGTGACGCAGCTCCTTCACCTGAAGTCAGAGCTCACACCACTGGCAAAGGCACCTGCGCCCCATCACCGATGGAGTGAGACTCACAGTCCTGGACACCCACAAGTGGGTGAAGAGTCTATTTTCAAATGTGAGGCAAATAGTACTTTTTAAATGGGCAGGTTTGTTGATGAAAACTATAGTCTCAATGCTGGAGAATGTCACAGGAAAATTGAATCCTGAGGAGAGCCATACATTTCAATAATCTGCAGGGTCCACTGAATGATGTATTAGACAATAAAATAATTGTTCCACAGCATACTTTATAGTAGAAATTAAGTTATCATTAAGAAAAATTATTAAACCAGCTACTTACTTTGAATTGCAGTGTAGCATATTAATGAAAGAAGGTGAACTAGAAGTCTTATTCAAATAAATTAGGTATTGCATAAACCTGTAGCTAATTGTATTAAGATCATAAAGTATTCTTGCATATTAGCCAATGCATGATCAGAGTCCTCATGTAAGAATATTTTTCAATATCAATATGATCGTGTCTAGTAAAATGGTCACTCTTGAAGGCAGAATTTCAAGAAGAAATGAACAAACATGGCCACTGAGAGCTCATGGTGAACAATAAATTACTCCTGCACATTTCACACACCTGCAAACACATTGTCTGAGATGAGACGGACTTTGTGATGACATGGGAGCACGGGTTAGGCTGCAATTTTCTCAAAAATATTTCCTTTGACTAATTGCTCCATGGCCCGGATCACATCCTTGTTCCTTAAGCTATAGATCAACGGGTTCAGCATTGGGCTCAGAAAAGTGTAAAACACGGCGATCACTTTGGACTCTTCCACAGACTTCTCTGACGGAGGCCGCAAGTACATGCAGAACAGAGTTCCATAAAATATGGTGACCGTGGTCAGGTGGGAGCCACAGGTAGAAAAGGCCTTGCGCCTGCCTTCTGCAGATCGAATCTTCAGGATGGCTAC